CCCCAAAACCCCAAAACCCCAAAACCCCAAAACCCCAAAACCCCAAAACCCCTTTTTAAGTCTTAGTCTAACGAAATATCTAAATTTTAACAAAAAGCCATTACAATTGTAAGTAGTAAAATCCATGCAATTTAGCAAAAAAATCGATAATGGAAGAGACCAAAGATGACTTTTGACAGGTAATTTACCTTCAGATATATCTTATATACAGACATATGCCCTTAAATCCTTCTGATTTAGGCTTTAAAGAGTTATTTATGGTTATAACTATAGAGTTCTTGATTTTCAAACTCAAGTTTTGAGTTGATAGGAGAATCCCAGTGTGCTCTCACCCAGACAGAAAACTATTCAGTCATTGAAACTGATGAAACCCTTGAGCGTAGGTTCATCTAGGCTATCTATAGAGAGAATTGAGTCTCTTGAGAAAGAGAACAAGAAATATTCACTTGAAATAAAATATCTCCAGAAGCAGTTAAAGAATAAATCTAAGGTACTCTTTAGTTAAGAGAGTTATAGAAAAAGAAGAAGGGCAAGCAGAAAGGCATCGACCAGCCTTATGATTACGTACTTTGACTCAATAAGTTTTATAGGACAAAGAGATGCATATGAACGATCCTCAGCTGTTGACTCTTATGGATGAGGTAGCAGAGAAAGATATCGCTGTAAATTTTCACACAAACTTCTAGATTCTTCAACTAAACACCAAAATTTCAGAAATAGTTCAGAGCAACAAGATCATGATAAAAGAGTATGAAGAGAAGATCAAGAAGCTACAGAAGGAAGGACTTGGAAAGATCATCGAACGCCTTGAGGCTAAGCTGCAAATGAGCGAAGTTGCTATGGCTAACGAGAGATGCTGATACTCCATGGAGATCTATAATCTCAGAAAAGCTAATGAAGCTGTACTTCTCCCTATTCTCACACTCTAGATGTCCGAGAAACTCAATGAGATCAAGGAGAAGCAAGACAAGCACATCAAAGAACAGGATAGAAAGAAGAAAGAAGTGAACAAAATTAAGAAGTCTATTATTAAAGAGAAAAAGGAGCTCAAAAAAACTGAACAGTTCATCCGAAGAGATGATGAAGAGCGCAAGCAGGAAATCATTAAAAACGTAATCTTAGTCTTAACCCTATAGACTCATGATGTTGTGGAATCTATGTATAAGGAACTTCAGGACGAGCAGGATGCTCTGGATAAAGAGAAAGTGCATGTCAATTTCATAAAAAATTCTTATAAAATCACTCTTGAGAAAAAATATAAAGAAGAGAAGAGATTTCTGGAAGAAAAAGTTATGAATGATAGAACAAACCTCAGACTTAAGTTCCAGGAGGAAAAACAACGCCTTAAAGCAGAGTTTAAGCAAAGAGTTGACACCGTCAAGGATGAACTTCTTCAAGAACTTCAGGAGCTAGCAAATGAAGAACTGAAAGATCAGATAGAGAAAGTTACTGAGAAAGCTACTATGATAAAGGAGGAGATATTTGCTGGAGCCAAAGTGAAGACTCCTAATACTGAGGCTTTCTTGATCCCAAGAGTAATTGAGTCTTCTTTAAAGCTTTGGGAGAAGATGCAAGAAGATATTAAAAATCTTATCAAATGTCCTATCTCTTTGGTTCCATTTGAAAGTCCTGTTGTTTATAAAGAAGGAATTACGATGAATGAGGAACAACTTTTAAAGATCATGAAGACTAATTGCTATCAATGCCCCTTTACTAGGCAGGATATGACAAAGGAGTACTATTTTCCAAATAAAATAGCTGAGGATTTAGTAAAGCTGCATGAAACGTATTCAAAGGAATTTGATAATTTAAAAGATCTTATTGAATAGTTAAAAGATATCCGTGTTTCAATATTATAATCTCAAAACGGGGTTTTGGGGTTTTGGGGTTTTGGGGTTTTGGGG